GTTGCCCTTTGCCTCGGCGTCTTTCTGGGCATCCGGGGATGGCCTCGTCGCCACGGCGGCAGGCGCCACCAGGAAAGAGGTCTGGGGAGCAGCGGTCCTCGGTCGTGGGGAGTCGCGTCGCCGCCCTCGGGATAGGTCATTGGGAGTCGCCTCGTCTCCCGGAATCCTGGTCAGAGCGCACCCCGGGAAAGAGGTCTGGGGAGTCGCGGTCATCGGTCATGGGGAGTCGCCTCGCCGCCTTCGGGAAATCCTGGTCAGAGCGCACCCCGGGAGAGGTCCAGTCGCGGTCATCGGTCGTGGGGAGTCGCCTCGCCGCCCTCGGGAAAGGTCGTGGGGAGTCGCCTCGCCGCCCTCGGGAGAGGTCTGGGGAGTCGCCCCGTCGCACCCCGGGAGAGGTCTGGGGAGTCGCGGTATCCGTGCATTGTGCCCCCCCCCCCCCCCGGGAGGCCGCCGAAGGAAAGGTGCGCAAGATCCTCTGCGGGCTGGGCTTTTCCGAGAAGATGATGGACGGGCCGACGGAGGTTCTGTCCGGTGGCTGGAGGATGCGCGTGTCCCTGGCGCAGGCGCTCTTCCTGGAGCCCGACCTGCTGATGCTGGACGAGCCTACTAATCACTTAGACCTGGACGCCGTGGTGTGGCTTGACCATTATTTGTCCGAGTACAAGAAGACGCTCCTTATCGTATCTCACGACGCTGACTTCCTTGACGCCGTTTGCACAGACATAGTGCATCTGGAGGACAGGAAGCTGCATCAGTATCGAGGCGGCTACAGCAGCTTCACCAGGGCACACGCGCAGCGCATGAAGGAGCTCGAGGCGGCCTACAAGAAGCAGCAGGAGGAGAAGGCAAAGGCGGCGGCGAAGAAGAAGCCCGCCAAGGCCACGGAGGAGGTGCTGACGAAGCCGAAGGACTACATTGTAAAGTTCAACTTCCTCCCCCCGCGGGACGACGACGAGATGGTGGGGATCAGCGTCCATGACGCCGCATTCAGCTACACAGGCAAGAAGCCCTGGTTGCTCGAGAAGCTCAACTTCCGCGTGGACACCGCCTCCCGGATAGCCATCGCCGGCCCGAACGGCGCCGGCAAGTCTACCCTGCTCTCCTTGCTGGCCAAGGTGATCGAGCCGTGCGAGGGAGATGTGGACCATTCGCGGAGGATCGTGGTGGCCGCGAGGGAAGCGGAGTGTGAATGACACGCCGTCCGCCGGGAGCCCGTTGGCGTGTCATCGGGCGGGGCCAGGACGAGAATAGATCCGTCGCAGAGCATTCCGGAACGCCCCCAGGGCGTTTCAGAACGCTCTGAGAAGGCCACGGCGCCCGAGACGTCCTCCAGAGCCGCCGGGTCTCAGAGAGGCTCGCATTATCCTCACCCGATGTTATCCTCGTCCCCTCTGCGTCTTGTGTCACTCCTTCGATGCTGCCCGACGGCCTGGTGCATCTTAACAGTCGCACGCCGGTGGGTTCCCCGCAGCGGCGCGCCATGGATATACCGTTCTGGCTCCCCCAGGTGGGGCGCTACTCCCAGCACTTCGACGAGATCGCCCCCTACCTGCACATGAGCGCAGTGGAGTTCCTCACGAGCCCAGAGCTGCGCCGATTCGGGGCCGGCACCAGGATGGGGCGCCCGCCCGCGCTTCCCTTGCCCTTCTTCCCCCTTCCCCCAGTTGCCCCGACCCCTTTGGAGGAAGGAGGGTCGGAGAACAAAAACTGGCATGCAGTAGGAGTGTAAGCAAGATGTTAGCCTGCCAGCGTGCGCGCCACGAGAAGATCTTATCTCCCGATGTGTCCGCAGAGCCTTGGGGCACCTCACGAAGCGCAGAGTCGACGAAGGACGCGATCCTAGACTTCTTGAAGCAAGATTTCGTATCGCCGTGTGCCTGCTGTAAGCATCGACTTTCGGAGGTCCTCGCGGACGTCTCGGGTCGGCGCTGGAACCCCAGGCGCCGCCCTTGGTGCGCTTTGCGCGCTACGGGAAAAAGGATCAGCTCCGACCAAAAAGAAATCCGCGCGGACCTCCGATATTTCTCCAGGGCATCGGGTGTAAATTCCGTTGCTTGTGCAACCATCCCACCATCCCACCCGCAACATGTTTTGCAAAACCAATGCGGCTACGGATGCAATTTGTCGATTGGAATGTGCTTGCGCATCTCTACGGCCGCACAAGCGCCAAGGCGCCGAAGAGCAGCAGCACGACACCACCACGAGGACCCTCCCCTGTTGGAGGGCCAAGCCGACCTGCTTCCAGGAGGCCAGTATCTTGGGCAGATGCCAAATACCGTTCTCACGTTCTAGCCACAAGCGTATATGGACACATTGGGGGCCGTGGCGTCAAAGGACATGTTCGGGGTAGACACGTCTATGGCCAACGCGGCCGTTGCCTTCGGCGCGGTGCAAGGTCGGAAAAAGGATTGATCCGTCTACGGTATGTTCCAGATCTAGAGCATGTCCCACATGTCATTCCAACTCCTTTGTTCCTTGATGGTGGATGTGTTTGTTTTGTTCGTCCCACCCCCTTTTTTCTTCTCCCTCTCCCTCGGCACGCTCCTACCATGCTCCTCCTCCCCGTAGCTTATGTTGCGCAGCTTACTCCCTTGTTCGATCCGCCCCTGCGGCACTGCAGGTGGAGGAGGGGTACAAGATGAAAGAGACGAGGGAGGGAGGGAGGGAGGGAGGGATGAGAAGAAGTAGAGGGAGGAGGCGAGGGAGGTGAAAAGGGAGGTGGGTGAGCAGGAGGAATAGGAGGGGGGACCTCAGCTCCATGGCCGCTCTAAGTCCTAGGTTCTAGGTTGCCGCAGGGCTCCAATACGTACGCCATTGGGGGGTGGTACCCGAAGACAGCCCAGTAATAAGGCTGCGCCTGGACGCCAGGGATACCAGAGATGCCAGTGGTGCCAGGACGCCAAGCTGCCATGATGTCAAGATGCCTGGATGCGAGCGCAAAGTCAGCCCCAGCAATGTGGAGCACGAAGAGCCCGAAGTGCCTTACACTTGGCACCAGACATGCAAAATCAGGCTTGGGGGTAGAGTTCTGGGGGCTCGATGAAAGAGCACGAAGCGGCTGACAGCTGGCCCTGGACATTCGAAATCACGACAGAGAATGGGGTTCTGGCGGCTCGATGATCGCAAAACCTTGCGTTGTTTTACATGATTTGGATGACCCTCTTGTATTGTTGATGTGAAGTGCGGGTCCCAGTGCGAGGGGTATCCCGCTTGAGACGTATTGACTCCGCTCGAGTCTTCTTCGGTACGAGTTCATGAGAGTGTGAGTGCGTGGGTACGCGAGTGCTTGAGTGCGTCAGCGTGTGTGTGTGTGTGTGTGTGTGTGTGTGGGTGGGTGGGTGTGTGTGTGCGTGTGCGTGGGGGCACTGATGACGATGATGCTGATCATGATGGGGATGATAGTGGTGATGCTGGTGATGATGATGATGATGATGATGATGATGGTGATGATGGTGATGGTTGTGATGGTGATTGTGATGGTGATGGTGATCATGCTAACAATGCTGATGCTGATGATGATGATGATGGTGATGATGGTGGTGGTGATGATGATGGTGATAATGATGGTGATGGTGATGCTAATAGGAGTGTGCGGCTGTGTGTGAGTCGTGTTACGATGGTCGACGTGGTAATGATGATGATACGTATGAGTGTGTGAGAGATGGTGATGGGGACGGTGGTGGTGACGGTGATGGTAAATAATTGGGTGCGCCTTGAAAGGAGAGAAGAGGGTAGGTTTGGGATGAGCGGTTCCTGCGCGGGGTGCGTAAAGAAAATAGGAAGCCAATTCAGGATGTGAGGAGCAAAAGAAAAACAACCTTCCCTGCCCGCAGCACACCTTCTGAATCACTTGAGCTCGTGTGTACAATCCCGAACACGCATCCCGGGGTGACTGCGCCCGTGGGCTGACCCGAACAAACGTGCAATGCCCGTGCTCCAAATAAGTTGGCCACCAACCCGACTGGATTACTTCAGACATGTATGCCAGTTTGGCGATGCATGGGTTGCTTGCGTGATTGTTGCGCTGTCGACGAGAACCCCTGCGCCGCAGCAGTTCCGAGTTCGCCCACAAGCCCCGCCAGCCAGATGTCGTCCATGGCAGCCACTGGTTTACCTGACGACTCATCCCCGACGTGGGAGGTTTCTGGTTGCTTTGCCTGCGCGGAGAAAATGTTGTCCCTGCTCCGCAGCAGCTCCGAGCTCGCCCACAAGTGCCTCGGCCAGTTCGGGCTGCCCTCCCACGGCCACACGCGCCCCATGAGAGAGCTGTCTGGGGGGCAGAAGGCGCGGCGGGCGGGGCAGCGCTCGAAGGCGGCGGCACTCCCAGGAGGGACGAGGCGAAGGGTCGTGTCGGAGGCTCTCGGGTGCCGCCTCTGAAGGCCTCTCGTCGCCACGGCCGGACGCCGCTCGAGAGATTGCCCGGGATGGACGGGCCCCTTTGGGGTCCTCTTCTTCGCCCAAGCATTGGGGTCACCCCCCCGTCACCACCCGCCCGAAAGAGCGGGGGAGGGATGCGGGAGCCAGTTTCAGTTTTGAGCAGCCCTTGGTCGGGACAAGAGCGAGGCACCCCCCATTGAGGTCTCCCCCCCCATTGCCACTCGCTCGAAACAGGGGGGGAGGGGCGGGAGCCAGTCTTGAGTAGGCCTTCGTCGGGGCAAGGGCGAGGGGGGCGCCTTTCGCAGAGGGCACCCCGCCTCCCAGAGGCTCTCCTGGCTCTTCCGAGGAGGCCTTCCCAGAAGTCTCTAGGCCAGGGCCGATCCCGGGCCGATCCCTCCTGAGAAGCCCCCACTCAGGAGCGAGAGAAGGACGTACACGTTCATGAACCCACGTTTGTCTCGAAAGTACGCCTTGCGCGAACGTTCGTGATACGAGGCTGGCCTCGCGCATTGGGGGGCCGTGCTCATGGACGTGGCTGGGCGCGTACGTCTTTGGCGGGCTCCCCACCTGCAGCCGAGCCGTTGCCGCAAGAGCGCGGCCCCTGCGTGCGAGCCTCCTCTCCTCGGAGGCCGCAGGCCTCGCGGAGGCACCCACGAGACGGAGAGCACTCCCAGGCGGGAGAGCCCGAGCACGCCGAGCTCGGGAGCCTCGAGACGGAGGTAGACGCAGACCGGGGGTCAGCCAGGGCGCCGGACCTTGCAGGAGCCTGCAGAGCCAGGAGTGCACTGCCCCGGGCTGGCGCGCAGGATCCTGCAGGATCCCGCAGGACCTTGCAGGATCCTGCAGAGCCCGACTGACCCGGGCTGGCATTGACCCGGGTCGGCAGATCCCCGACGAACATCGGGGGCATTCCTCCGAAAACGTCGCGGCGCGTGGACCTCACCCTCCCCCGCATCCTCCTCCCTCGTTTCGCACCAGGACCTGCTGCCCTCTCCTCGCCTTCTTGCCCGCCTGCCCCCTCCTCGCCTCGCTCGGCGGAGTGCCCCGCCTTCTCCCCCGCTTCCTCCTCCAGCGACGACGGCGAGCAGACAGACGTCCGGCGACGTCGGCGTCGGCGGCATCGACGGCGTCGGCGCCGGCGGCCTGCAGCCCGAGCGGTCCCGTCTGGAGCCCTCGTGCCAGCGGTGCCCTCCTCCGAGGGCCGCCTCCCCCGCCCTGCCCCTCCTCGCGGGGGCCGCGGGGGGCAGGTGGCGGAAAGAGGGGGGGCTTCGGACCGGCCTCTCGTCTTGGTGCACTGCTCCTCTCTTCCTCTCTCTCTCTCTCTCTTTCTCTCTCTCGCGATCTCTCTCTCTCTCTCTCTCTTTCTCGCGTCGGGACGGTGTGCATGTACCCGTGTTGTGTCTGTGTGTGTTGTTGTTTGTTTATCTTTCTCTCTCTCTCTCGCTATCTCTCTCTCTCTCTCTCTCTCCCTCTCTTGCGTCGGGATGGTGTGCATGCACCCGTGTTGTGTTTGTGTGTGTGCTGTTTTTTTGTTTTTGTGTGTGTGTGTGTCTCTCTCTCTCTCTCTCTTTCTTTCTTTCTCTCTCTCTCTCTCTCTCTCTCCTCTTCTCTCTCTCTCTCTCTCTCCTCTCTCTCTCTCTCTCTCTCTCTCCTACCCAGACATATGGCGCCTCGAAACATCGGAGCGGCCGGTGTGTGATCGCTCCTGGCCTCTGGAGGCCGGCTGCAGGCCCCAGGACAGTCACAAGAGGGTCACGGGAATAAAGAGAGCGGGCCGTGGGGGGCCGAGAGGTCCGGGGGGGCCCACGCATCAGGCAGAGGCGAAGCGCGCTGTGCATGCTTTGGTCTGTTTTCGTGCTCGGCCTGACTTTCGGGGGGGGGAACAGCACAGCCTCAAAGAATCGCCGATGCCCAGGAAATCACGGAACATATGGGAAGTGGCGGGGAAGACGAAAGTCCAGGAGATTCTGGGAAAGATGGGGGATCTTGGGATTTGTGTCTACAGTCAGCCCGCATGTAGTAAGGATGGGCAATTTTCCCAAGGGTACCCTTGCATCCTGGCCTCCTCGGTCCATCCATGACCACTTTCGTTGGCCGCGCCCCGCTCGAAAAGCTTCGAAATGGGCGTTCAAGGCCCGTGCATCCTTATCGCGCATCCTCACAATGCGGGCCGACTGTATTCATTTGTGTGTCCCTGGGCCCCTTCTGGCTTGTCTTCCGCGATCTGCGAGTTGCGGGCAAGGAGCGGGGGCGAGGCGTCGAGTCTGACCAGGCCAGAGGCCTCATGAACCCACAGGGGCATGGGTGTTGCTGACGAGAGCGGTCGAACGTGGGCCTCTCAGCCAGGAGTGGATATCCTGGGGCTCGCACGGGGCGACAGCATTGGCGGGCACAGCGGCAAATGTGTGTGTGTGAGATAAATGTGTGTGTGTGAGATTTCAGGGAGAGGTGTCGTACGCAGTCAGCGTTCCATTTGATCTCGGTGCGGTTGTTCCGTTCTGAACGTCTGGCCTGCACGATGGAGGCAGGAGAGAACAAGCGACGGGACGAGGAAGCTCGGACGAGCAGGAGGCTCCCCCTCGGGGGGAGCAGCAGGTCGCTCTGACAGCTGGGGCCGCGCTACTCCTTGGCTGGATCGGTGGCCGGTGTGGGAGGCGACCCAGGCAACTGGCACCGATGGGTGGAGCGACGAGCGAGCTGGGCGTGCCTGCCTTGCCTTCCGTTCGGCCCCAGCTCAATGAGGTGTTGTCCTCCTCCTCCTCCTCCTCCTCCTCCTCCTCCCCTCCTCTCCTCCTCCTCCTCCTCCTCCTCCTCATCCCCTCCTCCCCCTCCTCCTCCTCTCTCCTCCTCCTCCTCCTCCTCCGCCTCCTCCTCCTCCTCCTCTCCTCCTCCTCCTCCTCCTCCTCCTCCTCCTCTCCCTCCTCCCTCCTCCCTCCTCCCTCCTCCTCCTCCCTCCCCCCTCCCCCTCCCTCCCTTCGGGCGGTGGTCTGGAGTGTGCTCTGCGAAAGGTCAGTAGATCAAGACCCTGGCCAAGAGGTGGGGCCTGCCGGCCTTCCCCTGCGAGATCCGCCAGTTGTTGGGCGTGGTGTCTTGTGGACTGCTCCTGCGCCGCTGCGCTGGACTGTGGTGCACACTTGTGGCCCGAGAGAGTGCCGCTCATGCTGGCATGGCCGACGTCAGGTTGACGCGCGGGGGAAGAACGCGTGGCACATTCTCCGACGCTCTCCCGTACCCATGGGCGTGCAGTTGCCAGGTGCAGCATCAGGGGGGGCCGGCCGGTCTCACTCCGCGGTGGACAAACGCCGTGCAGTATGCCCGCTCTGCGTACCTGGCTGGACCGAGCTGCGTGGGTCGAAGAAGAAAAAACCTCATAAACATAAATGTTCGCAGCTCCGCGCGGATTTCTTGGATCTGAGCTGGGGCACCCTCTGGCGCCGCCCCTGGCGCGCTCCGGCTACAGCGCAGATCCAAGAAATCTGCGCGGACCGTCGAAAGTTTTTCATGCCCATGCGTTTTTTTCTCCCTGCAGTGGGGAGGAGGGGAACTGGAGCGTCCGCCTCAGGCGCCCTCCGCGGGGGCCCCCCTTGGCACGCCGGAGCAAAAGCAGCCGCTGGGGCGGGGCGGGACCGCGGCGTGGCCGCGCCGCGCAACAGCGCCCTGCGGGCCGCGCGGCCTGCCCGGGCGGGCCGCGGCGGGGAGCGCGCTCGGCCGTCGCGGCGGAGAGGCCCTCCCGGAGTCTCCTCTGCCGACCGTCTTCCGTCCTCCGTCGTCGTCGCGGCGGTGCTCTCCCGCGGCGGTGCTCTCGCGGGCGGGCCGCGGCGGGGCACTGGAGCGCGGTGGTCATCGTCGCCGGGGGGATTGGGACGGGGCCAATCTCGAAGAGGAAAAAACGCCATAAACATAAACTGTTGTCGCTCGGCGCGGATTTCTTGGATCCGCGCTGGGCCCTCCCGGCGGCGCCTCTGGCGCCGACCCTTGCGCGCCCGCCAGGGAGTGGGGGGCCAGCGCAGATCCAAGAAATCCGCGCGGAGCGCCAAAAATTTGTGTTCATGCCGTTGTGTTTTTTCCCTTCTTCTTCTTTTTCTTCTTCTTCTTCTTCTTCTTCTTCTTCTTCTCATCCTTCTTCTAATTGTGAAGGCCTGACCGCCCGTGCCGCCGACCCTGAAAGACATCGACGACGACCAGGAGGAGGAAGAGGAGGAGGAGGAGGAGCAGCCCCCCGGGACCCCCCCCCGCTGGGGAAGGGACAAAGGGAAGGGGCTTCCCTTTGACGTACTGAGGACGTGGATGGAATCCCCTCAAGTTGCGAACCCGTTCCCCGAACGAGGAAGGGTGGTTCTCTCTCTCTCTCTCTCTCTCTCTCTCCCCGACGGGAGAGGAGGATGGGAAGGAGACGACGAAAGAAGGCTTCCCGTCGACGGGACCGTCGACGGGACGGGACAGACACCCCACACACGCCGACAGGGTCGGTGGATTATTGTAATTGTTATCATGATTGATACTATTATTCCTTTTCTCCCATCGTCATTATGCTGGCGCGTCGCCGGTGTCGGCCCGTCACCGTCGCGCCCTTCTGCTCGCGCACAGGTGCGGGCGCCAGCAGAAGCCTCTGCCGAGCTCCCCCGTGTCGGGGGCGCCAGAGCCCGCGTTTCTTCGGGGGGGGGGAGGGGGCGGTGGTCGGGCGAGCGCCTCTTGCACCGCGTGCCTTCTTGTAGTGCTTGTGCGCCAGGCTTCCGTCGGAGGAGCCTGTTGCGTCCTCCTGGGCGTCCTCTGTCGACGGGCTCGTGACTGTACCGCGGGCTTTCTGGTAGCGCTTAGACGTCTGTTGTGTCCTCCCCGACGTCCTCTGTCCACGGTCTCGTGGCTGTACATTCGTCGGCGCGCTCGGGGGGGGGAAGTGAGCGTGAGAAGGCCTTCTCAGAAGGCGACGGGGCTTCTCAAAAGCCCTCCAGCCTTCGGGGAAGGCTCAGAGGACTTCTCAGAAGGCCCGAGGCCTTCCAAGCCGTCTGAGAATGCCCCCCCCTCCTCACTTCCCCCCCGCCCTGGACGCGCCGCCGAACCATGTTTCTCCGACGTCTCGGCGTGCAAGGGGGGGGGTCGGATGGGGGCCTGACGTGTGCCACGTTGCGCGCGAGAGACGTTGGACCGCCGGGGGGGGGCGGGGAGATGCCGTGCCGGGAAAGCCGAGGTGGAGCAGTTTCCGGAGGCAGGGATTTGTACATGTTCATCGCCTGGAGAAACGATCTTCCTGGACCTCGGAAGTTGGTGGGTATGGATGCCTTTGGGCCCCCCCTGGGGCCCGAATACGCCCATATCCACCGACTCCTGGGATCCTGGTGGGATCCTTGGACATCGTTTCCTCAGACGGTGGATCTGTGTGAATTGGCCTGGCAAGTTTGCGTCTTGGAGGCGTTGGTTCTGCGGGAGGGGCGAGAATGGATGGAGCCCGTTGGGCTCGCTCGAGCTTTCTGCCTTGATTCCTGCTCCCGCTGGCGCTCATCACAATTACTCCTCATCGCCCTCCTCCCTCCTTCATCGTCCCCGATCCCTCCTCCTCCTCCTCCCCCTCCAGCCTTCCCCATTCTCACCCCCCGCTTGTCTCTCCTCCTCTGCCTCCCCCTTCCTCCCTCCTCATCCCCCTCTTATCTGTTGATCCTCACCCTCCTACCATCGTTCTCCTCCTGCATCCTTCTTCTCCTCCTCCTCCGCCTCCTCCTCTTCCTCCTCCTCTTCCTCCTCCTCCTGCTCCTATCCTCTTCCTCCTCCGCCTCTTCCTCCTCCTCCTCGTCCTCTTCCTCCTCCTCGTCCTCCTCCTCCTCCGTCGTCCTCATCCTCTTCCGATAATCCTCATCATCACCACCATCATCATCAACAGCAGCATCATCAGCCTCAGTCTCATCATCACCATCATCATCAGCAGCATCATCATCAGCAGCATCCTCGTCCTCATCATCTTGATCATACCATCATCGTAGAATCGTCATCGTCATCAGCAACATCATCACAATACATCCATCCATCCGTCCGTTTATCCATCCTTCCTTCCTTCCTTCCTTCCTTCCTTCATCCCTGCATCCATTCATTCATGCATCCATCCATCCATCCATGCACCATTTTGTTCCTCCTCCTCCTCCTCCTCCTCCTCCTCCCCCTCCTCCTCTTCCCCCTCCTCCTCTTCCTCCTCCTAGTCCTCCTCATGTTCTTCTCCTACTCCTACTCCTACTCCAACTCCTCCTCCTCCTCCTCCTCCTCCTCCTCCTCCCCCTCCTCCTCCTCCTCCTCCTATCCTCCCGTTCTCTTCCTCATTTTCCTCCTCCTCCTCCTCCTCCTCCTCCTCCTCGTCCTCCTCCTGCTCCCTGCTCCTCTTCTCCCCTCCCTCTCCATCGGCAATCGATCCTTGCGAGGCTAGGGTCTGCTTTGCCAGCATCACGTGCCGAGCCCCGCACGTGCTGATACTAGACGAGCCGACCAACCACCTGGATATCGAGTCCGAGGGGAGGAGCAGGACGACGACGACGACGACGACGACGACGACGACGACGACGACGACGAGTGAGGAAGAGTGAGGAAGAGTACGGAGATTAGGTTCGGAATGTTATGTTGTTTGCGGCATCCACAGGCCCTCGTCGCCACGGCCCGATTCGCATCGATTTGTTGTTGTCCGAGCGCAATCCAGGAGAGGTTGGGATTCCGATTCTTGATTGGGGGGAGCCAGGGGGGGGTCATGAGGGTTTGCTTGAATATGCGGGCCCTGCAAGGCCCTGCGGAGGAGGAGGAGGAGGAGGAGGAGGAGGAGGAGGAGGAAATGGAGGAGGAATGCGGCAGAGCAGCGAGGGGCTGACGCCGTCGAAGGGAGAGCCAGACGAGGACGACGACGGCGACGGAGGCGGGCGAGGCGTCGGGGACGTGCCCGAGCCAGCCGAGACGGGATGCCGACGGGCCGAGGCCCCGGGGCAGTGGGCCGGAGCAGGAGCCAGAGCGTCGCGGGAAGAGTCGGGCGGGTGCGCATAGGGGGCGACCTCCTACCCGGACACGTCGACGAAGGAATTGGCCGTTTTCGGTTCGCGAGAGGGCGTCGCGGCCGTCATTTTTGCGGGTCCAGGTCCGTCGGTTTCGGTCCCGAGCCGTCTTCACTAAAGGGGAGGTTCACTAGAGTCCTAGAGGCAGGCGTGTCCACCGCCGACGGGGCCCTCTACGGCCCGGGGCCCCTCTTGGAGCCAGCAGGGGCCCCAGAGGGCCAGCTTAGGGCTTTTTTTTCTTCGCCCCCCATGTGGGCCACCCGCCGTTGGCCCCCGCCCGAGGGAAGAGGAGGTTCTCGGGGGGGCGCTCGCTCACAGAAGCAAGGTCGGCATCCACGACTCTCCAGAACGCAGTCATCCACTCATGCACATCGCTGGCACCGATGGGCGCGAGTGAGCACAGCTCGCTAAGTCAAAGAGTGCACCTCAGAGATCGGGGCGATGTCCCTGCGTTTCTGGCGGTTTATCACGTGAGCCCGCGCACGTTATCAGAGTGTCGAGGCCACGGCGTCCACGCCAAGCCCTGCTGGTCGCGGGCGGGCTCTCCAGCGGAGCGCGCACGACTCTACCGTTCGCTTCGCGGAGGCCCGAGGCTCCCGACCCGCGGCTGCCCCCCAGAGACGCACCGCGCCAGCGCTCCCACCTGCACCTTCCTGGGCGCCCGGCTGCGAGGTGCAGGTCAGATCGGGAGGGGGAGGTACACCTTCGATCTTCGAACCTCGACCCTCGTCAGGGGGAACGCCAAGGGGTTGGATAACTACGCCCTCGATCTTCGAAGCTCGACCCTCCTCAGGGGCAACGGTAAGGTGTGGGATAGGCTCAGGGGGGGTGCATCGACCCCGAAGACGGGCCCGATAGCCCGCCCCCGCCCGGCATCGTGCGGACTCGCTATTGGGGGCCCATCGCCGATCCATCGGTCATGTTTCGCCGACTCCAGGTCGATGCTTCCCTCCCTGAGCCGGTCCCCCACTAAGGTTGCCCCTCACCTCGACCCTGGCATTGGAGGGGGCAGCAGGGGTCACCGAGCGCGTTCCACTACCCGCAAAGTGCCGACTCGCAAACGTGAGGAACAAAGACATGTCCTCCTCCACTTGGTGGATCGTAGCCCCCGCGGCGGATCCAGGCCACTTGCGCGTAGCCACTCTGCGAGCAGTGGAACGCGCTTGTCCAAGGGGGAGGGGGTTGGAGGCCGGCGTTCTGCCCCAGACCAGCCTTCTCGCCAGGTTGACCTGGGGCCCCCCGATCGCTGACTGCAATGCCATCCCCGACCCCCGGCGTGCTCTCTACACAACGTCGACCCCCGGAGGTCTGGACCCCTCCCCTTTGGACCGGTTTCTCGCCCCGAGTCGTTTTCTGACGGCCCCGAGGCCCCGCGAGGGGCTCCAGAGGCCGAGCAGGGCGAGAACCCCCCCGCCGTGATTAAAAAACACCCGCCGCGATTTTGTTCGGGAGGGGGGAGACCCGCGGGCGGCCGCCCCCGCGGAGCGCTCGCCGTGCAGGCTCCCCGGGGGGCTCTCTCTCTCCCTCGCCCTTGGCGGTGGCCTCGGCCGCCGGGCCTTCCCCAGGGTGAGGCCCGACGCGAGGCCGCGGGGGCGGCGGAGGGGGGTCCTGGCCCAGGGTTCAGTCGGGCCCGTCCCTCCACCGAGGGAAATATTCAAAAATAGGCAAGAAATAGTCTGGGGACTATGCTTTGACCATTGTTGGGCATTTTTAGAGCATTTTTCAGTATTTTTAACTTGTCATCCAAAGTCGGCCTGTAGGGGGACAGGCCCGACTTAAGGCTAGGGGCGGGGGGGGGATCTCATGGCGGGGGCTACGACTCGAAGAGGCAAAGACGCCGTAAGCGTAAACTTGTGGCGCTCCGCGCGGATTTCTCGGATCCGCGCCGGGTCCACCCAGCGGCGCCTCCGACACAGCCCCTGGCGCGCTCCGCGCGCCAGCTAGTGGGGCCCAGCGCAGAGCGCCACAAGTTTACGTTTATGCCGTTTGTTATTATTCCTTTCATCTTCTTATTTCAATACGTCCCCGACCCCTCCCTGGGCTGCGCACATGCCGCCCGCCATGATTTGCGCCCCCCCCCTCTTGGACGCCCCCGATTGGCGAGGTCGGTCGGTCGGTCGAGGATCTCGGGTGGCTCAGTCTGCTGAGCTTTGCCGGGGGAGGGATGCGGGCCACGATATAGCCGTTCTACGGCCCACCGCACTCCCCCAGCTCCTGCTCCTCGTCCTCTCCCGCAAGCTGCTCCTTGTCCTCATCGTCGTCGTTCTCCTCCGCCTCCCTCATCCCTCTGCAGGGGGGCGGAGGATTGGAACAAGTGAAAAGGAGGATAGAAGATGGGTGGAGAACGAAGAGGGTGAATGAGGAGGATAAGAAGGAATTATCAAAGAAGGAAGAGGAGGTCGAGGGCGAGCAATGAAGGAGAGGCGCAGAGTGAGATGGAGGGAGGAAAAGGGGGATGATGATGATGTTATTGAGGATGATGCTGATGATGATGCCGATGGTGCTAATGTTGCTGATGATGATGGTGGTGATGGTGACGGTGATGGTGATGATGGTTCACTACGTAGGATGATTATGATGATTATGATGTTGATGATGATGATGATGTTGATGATGATGATGATGATGATGATGATGATGATGATGATGAGGAGGAGGAGGAGGAGGAGGAGGAGGAGGAGGAGGAGGAGGAGGAGGGGGGGGAGGAGGAGGAGGAGGAGGAGGTAGGAGGAGGAGGAGGAGGATGGCGGAGGAGGAGGAGGAGGAGGAGGAGGAGGAGGAGGAGGAGGAGGAGGAGGAGGGGTTCTAAGATATTCATCGAATTTCTGCTGGCCCCTGGAAGGTCCGTTGACGCCCTCATCGCCGCGCTGCAGAAGTACAAGGGTGGTCTGTTGCTCGTCTCGCATGATGCGCGCCTGATCCAGGCCAGTCGTCGTCGTCGTCGTCGTCATCGTCGTCGTCGCTAAAAGGGATGTTCGAACGTGTTCTTAGGTTTTCGGCTAGTTCCCGTGCTCTTCGGCGGTATTCGGAGGCTCCCCGAGTCGTCGTCGTCGCTGGTGGAAGGGGATGTTCGAAAGTGTCCTTCGGTTTCCCGCTTCACTCTGTGCTCCTCGGCGGTTCTTCGGCGGTATTCGGGGGCTCCCCGAGCAGCGGGGGTCAAAGGGGGGGAGGGGGGGGCACAGACGGGGGCAGGAGCACGTGCAGAAGCGGGCGCGAGAGAAGGACGGTGAGGGAGGCGGGGGGGGGAAGCCGAGGAGGGGCGATGATGGACAGCAGCAGCAGGGCCAAGGCCACGAGGAGGAGGGGGGAAGGGTGGAGGGGCAGCGGGAGGAGGAGGAGAGCGCCTTAGACGAGGGTATTCTCTCTCTCTCTCTCTCTTTCTCTCTCTCTCTCTCTCCCTCCCTCTCTCTCTCTCTCTCTCCCAGACGGCCTGGCTGGCGTTTTACCGACAAAGATCTTTAGTTTGGGCCCCCCTTTTCTCTCGGCGGTGAATAGGACTGGTCCTGAAACCTCCTCCTCCTCCTCCTCCTCCTTCTCACTCCTTCTCACTCCTTCTCCCTCCTCATCCTCCTCCTCCTCGTCGTTGTTGCGCGGCAGGCGCCGCGGAAAAAAACTAACCAGTTACCCCTTATTAGTGGAACCCCAGTTCTTCAATAAGGCCGCCAAGAAAAATAGTTGCCCCTTATTGGGGGTGGGTCTGAAAACCTGTCAGGGTTACTCTGTGCCCTTCCGAGCCCGCTGTCTTTTTCTCTGCCTCTCGTGCCTATCCAGATTGCTGCTAGGCCCGCCCGGCGTAGTCTGTTGACCTACAGGTCTGAGTCGGAATTCTTCTCTCACACGGACGCTACAGCCGTGACGGTAGAGTTCGCCTAACGCAAAAAGACGGAGGGGGGGGGGCAGCAGGCGGAGGAGGAGGGCGCCTTCGACGAGGACGGCGACCGACGACGAAGGCGGCGGCGACGGACGGCGGCGGCAGGGGGGAACAGGGCGGCGGCGGCGGCGACGACGGCCGCGACGGTGGCCGCGCTGGCCGGCGAGGACGACGCGGGTGCCAGGAGCGGCGGCGGCGGCGGCCAGAGGTGGTTCGCATCGGCGGCGAGCGAGAGGGGGGAGTGAGAGGGAGGAGGCTTTCTCGGAAGACGGCGTGGCTCCCCAGAGGCGATCCGGCTTTCTGAGAAGTTCTCCGCGTGTTCGGGGGATTCTCAAAAGGTTGGCGGCCCTCCGAGCCTTCAGAGAAGGCCCGCCCCTTCTCGTTTCCCCCGCCGCCGAGAAGGGGGCTGGGGGGGGGGGGGGAGGCGCCGTCCCGCAGGCGGCCGAGTGCCAGCTGTGGGTATGCCGAGGCGCCGGGCAGGCGAGCGGTCCTCACCGTCGTCGTCGCGGTCTGCCTCGTCGCGGTCGGGGGGGTCGTGGTCGCCGTCGTCGTCATCGGGGCCTTTGTGGTCGTTATCGTAGTCTTCGCGGCCATCGTTGTCACAATCGCCCTGGTCGGTACGATCGTCTTGGTCGTCGTTGTCGTTGCGAATGTCGCTACTGTTGTGGTTGTCGTCGCGGTCGTGGTCACCGTTGCTTTCTTCGTCGTCGGTGTCGTCGCCGTCGTCGCCGTCGTCGTCGCGGTCGTCTCAGTGTTCGTCGTGGTCGTCGTCGTGGTCGTCGTCATTGTCTTAGAATCTGCGCGGTGGTCGTGGTCGTCGTCGTTGCGGTCGTCGCTGCCGTCGTTGCCGTTGTCGTGTTCGAAGTCGTCACGGTCGTCGTTGGGGTCGTCGTTGTCGTCGTTATGTCAGTCGCTATCATCGCCGCCGTCGTGCGTCCAGCTCCCCATGGGCCAGTATGGGGTCTGGGGACGACCAAACAGATCCCAGGAGGAGGGTTTAGGGGGGAGATCCGATGTCTACAGAGGTTGAAGGAGGCTTTCTGTCGATTTCCAAACGGCTTCTGGACTGGCCAGGGGGGTCCACAAACGGGCGGTGCAAAGAAAGACATACATGTCACGGCCCTTCACATCCACGTGTGTAGAAAAAGAATATTGGCATCGTAAGTATAATCGGATGTACCGTCATGGACCCTGGGATATTCACTGATGGATCAGACTCGAAGCATTCCACGTACAGGGGGGGCATATGGATTCGGCTCATAAAGGTACGCCAGCGCTAATACGCGTTCGAACAGTGTAAATATGCAAGTCCTAGGCGACTTTGAAGTCGGATATAAGAACAACTTGCCAGGCCAAGATGCCCCCAGCCCGAACCAGCTCCCAGACCCGAATTGGCGCGCATCTAGACGTCCTAAAAAGCAAAGTTGTCAGGATTTGCCCGGCAAATCGGGTCGTCTTGGCTCCCTTGGGTTTCTGGGTCGTCTTGGACTTTGCTCGGGGAGAGTTTGCCTGGAGGCCTCCGCGAGTTTTGGAAGACCAAAACAGCGTTCTCGTCGTTGTCGTCGTCTTCGTCGACGCCATTGCTATCGTCGTCGTCGTTGTCGTCGTCGGCGTCGCTGTCGTCGTCGTCGTCGTGGCGGGAAGGGTCTGCCTGGCTGTCCCCCGGCGGGCTATGGTGGCCCTCGCGATGGCTGGCCACCCCGCCCCGGTGCGCAGGCCCTGGAGAAGCCGCCAAGCTTCGCGCACTACCGCAAGGAGGCCGCCTCCTCGCCCCTCCTCATCATCATCCTCTTCATCCTCTTGATGATCATCCTCATCCTCTTCATCATCCTCGCCTCTGTATTGTCATAGTCCGCTTCATCCTCCTCTTCTGTATCCTCCTCTTCTCGGTCTCCCCCTCGTCCACCTCTTCTTTGCACTCACCTCCTCTTGGCCTCCAGAGGGCACGTCTGCTGTACTGGAGTGCCGCGTGAAGCTCCGCTTGGCGCTTCTTGCGCTGCGTGCGCCTGAACTCCCGCCCCCCTCCTCTCCCTCCTCCCTTGCACTGCTCACGTGTCCTGCTGTCCCTCTCCCCGCGCACGCTGCGTGCGGAAGGCTGTCATGCGCTCCGCGAGCCTCTCTTGCAAGCGACCCGCCCCACGAAGCACACCTCTCCCCACAGGCGCGTGGAGAGGGGGGTCCGACGCTTCGCGCAGGCAGGCAGAGGGGATCGAAACCGTCAAGTCGGCTTGAGGGCGTCTGAGCTTGAGGGCTCTTGATGCTCTCGGAGCGTATTGTTAGCCCGCGAGCTCTTTCCACCTCCTCCTCCTCCTCCTCCTCATCCTCCTCCTCCTCCTCCTCCTCCTCCTCCTCCTCGGAGCGTATTGTTGGCCCGGGGGCTCTCGCGGCGACGGAGCGGCGGCGCCCCCGGGGGCCCGTGCTCCGCATTCGCTATATGCCCGTCGGGTTCCTGTTCGGTCGGGGCCTCGTGGTCCAGCTTCCTGTGCGGCGCAGGGCCGGTGGGAGGGTTCGCGGCGTGGGAGCCCACGTGCGATCAGGCCATGGAGATGCGCTTGTCTCGGGGGCCGCGGGATGGTGGTCTCGCGACCGGCGTCGGAGAAGTTGAAGCGAAAGGCGGCCAGGTGGTTGGCCGCTTTCTAAGATTCAAGGTTTAGGCGTGCACCGCCTGCCTGATCTTCGCCGCAGGTGTCTAGAGGATGTTCTTCTGGCCTCGCGAGCCTAAGCCAGCAGCTCGTGCTGGAGTACTGAGTGGGAGATTTGGAATCTGCTCGTCATCAGATCTTGTCTGTTCATGGTTATTGCCAGCATCAGGCCCACGTCGATGCCCTCCCATTTCGCACTGCAGCCAAATCTTTACTATGGCCACGGGTGGCGTCACGGTTGGCTGTGGGGATCTTCGGCGGACGCGCTTGGCAAGAGTTGCCACACGCCTCTCTGGGGGGGTGATCCCCGACACCACGTAGCTACCACTCGTCGTCTGGCAGCCACGGTCACGAGGGTCCGAGTCAGGTCGAGTTGCTCGGAGTATCGACGCGTTGAGCCGTATCTCCAGGCGGTTCGGAGCTCTAGCGATGAAGAGCCCCGACGTGGCCGACAGGCCAGGCAAAACGTTGGGCTGGTACAGTGCTCCTGGCAGAACTGCACTGAACGTCTTATGGAAAGCCATCGCAGTTCGTTCATTATGCGTGGGGACGTTCGTGTTAGACATGGTCTCTTGTCGTATCCAAAGACGACTGTCCTAGACTTGACAGGGGCTCAAGCGAGCATGATTCAGCGATTGCTTCGAGGTTGTGCGTGTGCGAAAATGGAACAGAAAGACGGTGTTATGGACTGTACGTTCCGTACGGGTCGTGTTGTGTTTCGTCAGTTGGGCATGGGTCAATGTCCCCTGTCACTCTGGATTAGGCGTATGATATGGTGGCAACACGTCGCCAGAGTCCCTCTAAGCAACGTTCGTTGTTTGATGCTTGCGGGGGCAGTGTTCGGGATACGGGATTGTGGGGACACGGGCAGGAGGTTATTGGACAAGCAGGGGTACTTCATTGACCTTGCAAGTACATGGCGGGATCAGTTTCATTCAGATCTAAGTGAGTTCTTTCGTGTCGGCGGACTGTCCATCCTCAGTTGGAGTTAAGTTGTGATCGTGGCTTGGACGAGAGGGTGGGTGGGTTTCTGCGCGGTTTCGTCCCTCACGGGGCGACAGTTCCTCGCTCACCAAGCCAATGTTCAGTTATTTAAACAGTGCATGAACCAAGTATGGCCAAATAAGTTGTTGTTTCAAATGCATGTGCTTGTTGTTTTAAGATGTGTTCCACTCGTTGGTATGCCAGTGAGCCCCGTATTAACAAGTCTGGGGTGACACATGCCCGTTACCCCACGCGTCGCCTATCATGTGTGAGAATACGAGTCCCCATCCAAACGTTTGCGTCTTGTCCGAACAGTAGCTATAGCGGGGCACAGTGGCGTGTGCGACAACACCTTCCTCTCGAATCCCAGCTGCTGGATTTCAATCGCACAGAATCGCCCGCCTGCGCCGATGCATCAGCAACTGAATCGTGATACCAGGGTCGTCATACTGGGGTCTTGGAGGCGGCATGCACCTTCCAGCTCACTCTGGACGCTGATGACCCCAGCGTGCGTGGCCATGAATAACGCTCGCGACAACGAATACGAGCCCCGTGTCAAGGGCCAGCAAGGCCACAAGTTCAGAGCTCCCGACAGTTTCTGTATGCGATGCTGGTATATTTAGCGCTGGACGTGGCAACGAGAATCGGAAGGTTTCATGTCATAGAGTATGTTATACCGTGCTGTCATGGGCACCACTCCGATACATTGTTCCATTAGTTTGTTGTGCATTGAACTGTGGGCCTACGCAGTGCGTGCTGTTGGCTTCAGTCACCGAGCCTTCGGTCGAAGTGGCTGCGGTGCAGCCCCAATTGCGCGAGTCGATTGCTTCCATTGGTCCCAGGCCCGCTGACTTTCTGAATATCGACGGGCAGAATACGCCCAGTCCACAGAGGCGGCGTGGTTATGTGAGCGACCGTCGCTAGCGCCCCCCAGTTGTGGTGCCGAGGCTTTCACCGTCTGAGAGAATAGCCCCAGTTTGCTTCTGCAGGTCATCGGCCCTTGGTCCCCATGGAGTTCTACTCACCTGCTTCATCATCCTCCTCCGCCCTCCTCTTCATGCTCCTCCTCCTCCTGTACCCCCGCCTCGTCGTCCTCGTGTTTATCCACATTCTCACCATCACCATCTCTCCCTGTCTGATGTCTCTCTCTCTCTCTCTCTGTTCTCCCTCTCTCTCTCTTTTTTCTCATGTCTTTTCTCTCTCTCTCTCTCTTTCTCTCCCTTTCTCTCGCTCTCTCTCTCTATGTTTGTGTGTGTGTGTTTGTATGTGTGTGTATATATATATATATATATATATATATATCGGAGTAGGCCGGGGGAGGGCCCAGAATTACGACCTATGGTTGGCATGGGGAGCCAGGGGGGCCTTGAGGGCTCCAAAAGGATTCAGAAGGGGCCCCGGACCCCCCCTGAGGCCCCCAAGCTGGCCCAAGAGGCGCCCAAAGCGCCCCAGGTTGTCTGGAAGGTGGCTGCAGAGCGCACTGAGATGGCTTCCGGACGGGCCACGAGCGCTCGAAGACAGCCCAAGACTGCTCCTAGACAGCCACAAAGGCACTCAAGACGGTCCAAGAGGCCGCCGAGAAGGCCCTCCAAGGGCAAAAATCAAACATTTCCTGTGGAAATACGTACATATCCGTAATAGTTGCGTTTCAGTCCTACCAGCGGCCGCGACGGCCCCAGAGGCTCCAAAAATGAGCCCCAGACGGCCCAAGAGGGCCTCCAGACGGCCTGAAGAGAGCTTCAAGCAGCACAAGAGAGCTCCAATACGGCCCAAGAGAGTACCCATGAACCCCCGAGGGGGCCACCGGAGGATCCCTACATGGTTGGAGAGGGCCCCCCGAGGGCCCCAAGACGGGCTCAGGTCCCCATGACAGGCGAAGAGGGACCCGGAACGGCCGAATTGGGCTCCCAGAAGGTCAAAAAAAGGCCTACCAGGACTCCCTGAAGACGGTTGGAATGGATGGAGAGGGGTAGGCTGCCAAACGTTGTGCAAGCACACCCCGCTTGCCCTCTCCCCCATTCCCCTCGCCCTCTCCCCCCCCCTCTCCCTCGTCGCCCCCTTCCCCCTCCTCCCCCCCTCCCTCCCTCGCCTCCTTCCCCCTATACCTCCCTCCTCCCCTCCCCTCCGCCCCCCTTTCCCTCCCCCGCCCCCGCCCGCCCGCCCCCCGCAGGTGCTCCGCGAGCTCGAGCGGCGCCAGGCGGCGGCGGAGGCCCCGCCCGCTGGGCCGGCGCCGCCACGGGTCTGCGCGCCCCGCCCCCTCCTCCAACAAGGACATTCATTGATATTCGCTTCGGGGCTGAACTAAAGCTCAAGCACGTTCCGCGGACAGCAACTGACCCCCAGTCCAAGCCTGGGGCGTTGCCAGTTCCGAGTCGGCGCCAAGAACCCTACCCCAGGAGGAGGAGAGGAGGAGAAGGACATGCATGAAACACAACTCGCCCGGGTTAAACGCTGCCCACCTTCTAATGGGCCGTTCCCAGGCCAGAACAGAAACAATGCAGAATTTCCCCAGCACGGGGCGGAGAGTTCCCATCCCACCCACCAGTGACCCCCTCCCCAGACAAGAGCAATCCCTGAACGCCAACTTGCAGGTTCGGACTTTCGAGCATGGTGAGACCATGGCAAGACCCGCCAGGGAAGGCCACTTGCTTTCGCCTGTGACCTGGCTGCCAATTCCTTGAACTGTCTGGAGGGAGGAAGGAGGGAGGGGGAAGACAGTAGGACAAGGGAAGGGGAAGGAGATCAAGACTGCAAAGCACTGGGGTAAACTTTCTTCCCACATACTAATGGGAGTCCCCTAGCAGAGCGAGACCTCCGTTCCCCAAAGGGAAGAGAGAATACTAGGGGATTACTTCGCCGCTGGAAAGGGGATATTAGGGAGAAGTAAAATAAACTGGGCTGAATACAGCTGCCCAACTAGCGCATGAAGAAGAAACTGCAGGTAAGCTACCTGCTTCACAGTTCTGCCGATCTGGCCAAGGAAACAAGACGTGAAGGTAAAAGAACGCTGGGTAGCTGACAACTGTCCTACCCAAACGAAAGGACCAACACAAAAGGATTCTACCAAAACCTGTAGCCGATGAATTATGCGCACTAAGCCAATACTCAAGTTGCCATTTAGCCCAAGATGCAATAAACATTCTGCCGCTGAAAGAAAGTTGGATACTACCAACATATTTGCTCCAATTACTTTGAAGAAGTGGAGTCTGAGCTGGATCTTCTCCTCCTAGGAACAGGCGCACTGCCTGAAGCTGCGTTTTGATTCTTAACACGATTGAGCTCCTCCTGGAGTGTCTCTAGCTTCTGCTGGAGGTGCTTGATCTTGATATCCTGGAGACCACACTTTAACTCCAGCAGTTTTGAACTGGACGGGGCAGAACCACTGGAGGAGGAGGAGGAGGAGGAGGAGGAGAAGGAGGAGGAGGAGGAGGAGGAGAGGGAGGGAGGGAGGGAGGGAGGGAGGGAGGGAGGAGGAGAGAAGGAGGAGGAGGAGGGCACCACCGGACACCACGGACAAATAATGATCGGTGTTCATTATCCATGCAGGTATGTATAAGTGTGTGCATGCATGCATGTATGGATGTATCAGGTATGCATGTATGTATGCATGCATGTATGTATGTGTGTATGTATGTATGTATGTATGTCTGTCTGTCTGTCTGTCTGTCTGTCTGTCTGTATGTATGTATGTACGTACGTACGTATGTATGTATGTATGTATGTATGCATGTATGTATGTATGTGTGTATGTATGTATGTATGTATGTATGTATGTATGTATGTATGTATGTATGTATGGATGGATGGATGGATGGATGGATGGATGGATGGATGGATGGATGGATGGATGGATGGATGTGTGTGTGTATGTATGTATGTATGTATGTATGTATGTATGTATGTATGTATGTATGTGTATATGTGTATGTATGTATGCATGTATGCATATCTGTATGTATGGATGGATGCATGCATGCATGCCTGCATGCCTGCATGCCTGCCTGCCTGCCTGCATGTATGTATGTATGTGTGTATGTGTGCTTGTATGTATGCATGCATGCATACATGCATGCATGCGTTTGTGTGTGTGTCTGTCTGTCTGTCTGTCTGTCTGTATGTATGTATGTATGTATGTATGTGTATGGATGGATGGATGGATGGATGGATGGATGGATGGATAGAATGTATGTGTACGTGTATGTGTATCACTATCGATCGGCCTCATCGTGGATCTCAATGTCGATCTCGTTATCGAGCTCACCCGAAGAACCTCACAATCGATCCCACTATCGATCTCACTATCGACCTCCACGGGCCACCACTTGACACCGCGGAACACCGCGCCACGGGACACCACGAGACACCGGCGGGACGCCCACCGGCCTTCGCTGGCCACCGGGGGGAGGAGAGACATTGATCCCGGTTTCGCCCTAGCTAGGGCGGGATCATTCCTCTCGCCCGCCCACGTAGGTTTGCCTCGTACGCACGACACGAGACCGAAACCGAGTTCCTGGTGGGAGGCTGCCCGTTCCACTGCGGTCTCACACCCCGATGTCCGACATGCAGCGCGTTGCGTGGTATGTATGACGTGTTGTTTTCTGACTTACCGTGGTATCGAAGAAAAGGAGGGAAAGGAGGAGGAGGGGGGCGGAGAGAAGGATCACAAGGAGGATGGATGGGAGAGCAGAAGCTCGCGAGAGGGAGCACGAGGAAGGGAGACAGAGCAGGCGGAGGAGGAGGAGGAGGAACAGGAGTGTGTGGGGTGTGGGGGAGAGAGAGAGAGAGAGAGAGAACAAAAACAAAAAAAAAAAAAAAAAAAAAAAATGACACAGAGGCACAGGGACACGGAGACAGAGGCACACGCATACACATATACACATCCTCCTCCTCCTCCTCCTCCTCCTCCGCCTTCCCCGTAGCCATTTTGGCTCAAGATGTCGCTGGGGCGAGGGGTGGAGTTGGCCCAGGCTGCCCACACCCGGTCCCCACGGCACAGATTGAGCCTCTCTTGCTACACTCTCGCGCTTTCCATCGGGCCCCTGGCCCTACTACTTTCATCTTCTGTGTGCAACTCAGGGCAGCCCTTCCCTGAGTCTGCTGCTCTCGCCGCACACTCATGGCAGCGCGTGGCAGCGGACCCGAGGTGCACCACCTCGACGACGGCAGCTCTGCTTCGGAGGACTCCGTGGACGCCAGGCAGCGTGCGTCGAAGTCAGCCCCACGGCATGGCAGTGCGAGTGCTGAGCGGGCGCGGCGTAAGCGCCGCTCTCGCAGAGAGGCGACAGCGGCCACCCTCGCTCAGCTCGAAGCGATGCCCACATTCCCGTCACAGGAACGAAAGGGTGATGCATCCTTGGCAGCGGCGCTCGACCTCACGCCGACGCTGCCTTCACAAGAGGTTCATGCAGGTGCAGGTCCCCGTGCTGATGGTGAGCTTCCTCCAGCAGCTGGTGCACCCGCGTTGGGGGCTAGCAGCAGTGCCGCCGCACCTGGCCCTGCCAGTGATGCCGCCGCCGCCTCCCTGCGTGGTCGTGCTGCAGGCCCCCCCAGCGGAGCACCCAGGGACCCCTGGCATGAAGGAGCTGGAGACCCATGGAATGGACGTATACCCACGGCTGACGAGTTTGACAAAAGAATGCAGGAACTCTTCAACACACAGATCGATATCGCCTCCACCAAGCTGCAGGCGGTCTGCAATGAGACCCTCAAGAAGGCCCAGGACGACTTCCAGTCGAGCATGCGGATGTGCTTCAAGCAGATTCTCGCCACGAATGCAAGGGTTGACCAGCACAGCCATACCATCGCCGACATCCAACGTCGGCAAAATGATCAAGAACGTGAGCAAGATAGGATCCGAGACACGGTCGCACGCATGGAAAGGACGATCGCAATGGCTGAGGCACAGGCATCTACATTCGACACGGCGAAGTTGGCACAGTGGGAGAGACAGGCGGAACCGACCCTCTTCACTATCGGTGCACCATCGGCCATCGCACCGCTGGAGGTGCGCAGGGCCATCCAGGCTTGGGTCACAGACTCGGGCCTCACCATGGACCAGATCGAGCTCGACGGCCAGGTTCCTTCACGCAAGTTCTTCTTGCGCACGATTGGCGGTGACGAGGTTGCCCGACCACGTGCACTGGCGCTGGCTCAAGGTCTCAGGACTTCGGCAGGCTGGCGCAACTTCGCGGCGCAGAACACACAGGGGGCGCAGACCCCGATCTACATCAGCCCAGACAAGGCCCCACGCCAAGTACGCTTGGAGCTCCACACGAAGAAGGCGCAGCGTGTGCTGGCAGAGCGACATCCGCATCTGGACTTCTCGTGCCAGAGGTCCAAGGGCGTGGTCATGGTCGATCGTGTCCCCGTCGTGGTCCTCGAGATCGATGGTGCTGACGACCCCGCGAAGTTCATCTGGCACGGCCCCGCGGTCGAGAGGTTCACCATTGACAAGTCCGCAGTTGTGGAGGCCTTCAAGCTCCTGGCCAACACGGTGGACACCACTGGCGTCGGGTGGAGTCTTTAGCAGCCGCTGGTCCCCGTGGGAATGGGCACCTGCACAACGTGGAGGTCGCATCATTTCTTGGAACGCTCGTGGGCTTGCCTGTCTCGACCAACGCCGGCGTCGTCGTAAATTTCAAAAGCTGTTCCCGCACATGAAAGATCGCGCTGTCATCCTCATCCAAGAGACGCATGGCACAACGGAGGTGCTTCGTACTCTTCTCAACGCCACTCCCTTCGACTACCTGCTCTTTCACTCCAGCACGGGCCGATCTGGCGCGGGCGGGGTTGCCATCTTGGTTCCTCTACCTTCTCGGATGACGGCGCATTCGGTACCCCAAGAAGATCAACCAAGTATCACTCATGAAGTTCTTGCTGAAGGGCGCGTTCAACTTGTCAGCATCCTCAATCCCAAGACAAAGTTTTCAATGAAGATCATGAATGTCCACAATTATGAGTTGGAACCCCGCACTCTCCCTCGCATTCGAGAAGTATGGCAGCATTCGCTTGCATGGTGCAAGGAGGAGCCGCTGAGGAGGACCTTCATCGCGCTGGGCGACTTCAACATTGCCGCTGGTGCCCCTGTGAGCTACCAGAATCCTGTGCCCAGCAGTGCTCGCCTCGCTGTCGATACTCATGGCCCCTCTGGAAGGTTTCTGGAAGCCGCTCATGCAGGCAGCCACAGAGGTATGCACAGAACTTCCGACA